AGCTGAAACGGTGGATGCAGACAAAAAAAAAAAAAAAATGTTAGTGAAATTTACCCTGCCGGACCAAAAAAAAAAAAAAAAAGCACATTTTTTTTTTTTTTTTGAAAAATTGAAAAAGTATTGGCTTTTAACTTAAATGAATTAAACCAGAAGCATCCAGTGATTTTTGCTGAAAACCCAAGTAAAATAAGAGTGAACAATTTCCTAACGTTGCAGAAAATACACACACCAAAAAAATCTAGACAAATATATTCAACCTGAAACATGCAAGAATTTATTTATTTATTTTAAATAACCTTGTCAGAACCTATTAAAATAAATCTAACTGGATGATAGATAAACTCCTGCGATTGTATTGCTGTTTTGAGACCAACATATTCAGTAAATATATTGATAATGGCATAATAATGCAAGTTCTAACTCAAATACTACTGAGCATAATTTTATAAAGAACGCTGAACCCTGGAACTCGGCTTATTTTAAAAATCAAAAATATTCAGAAATATCTTGGACAAATATTTTGGAGAACACAATAAATAAAGCAGAAATAAAAACCACATAAAACCATAAATAAAAGGAACTAAGAAGTTTAAGTAAACATAATTCAGACAATATTGATCATCAGCATCAAATCTGAGCTCATTTTAATTCATCATGTGACTAATTGCTTGTTGCAACAGGTTTATTGAAAATCATAAATAGTTTTTGACATTTTAATGTAAAACAAAAGCCAAAGGTTGAAAATGTTTGGACAGCAATGCTCCGACCTGCTCCTGTAGCTCAGCCAGTCGCTGTTGTCGTTCCTGTTCCGAGTCTCCTCTGGACGACTCGGAGTCGGAGGAACTGGAGCTGTCGTCTTCCGACGCAGCAGACGGAGGAGGGGCTTGTCGAGTGGGGGGGACGGAGAGGAGGGCCGACGACGGCGTGGGGACCGGGATGGGCCCTTCGGACTCGTCAGGCATTTTGGCGAAGCGCATCTCGAACACGTCCTGTTGGTGGTGGAGGACAGCAGCAGAAACTCTCAGGTCAAAAAGTTTCCTACTTCAAAACAAGACGGACTGAGGACGCTTAGATTATTATGAATCCTAAAGTTAAGAAAAAGTATAAATAATTTCTAGATGTCGGTGACAATGTGCCTGATCCGTATGGGCAGATCTATTCAGTCCAACTCTATGCTTTGTTTTCTGCGTGACATCATGTTTCATTATTTATGTTATATTTAGATTTTCTAATTGCACGTTCTGAACCATTTGAATGAAGGTTTATTGCAGTTTATTTATACGTGGTTGACTGAGTGTGTGAAACTAATGGTTTACTGATGGAGCATTTTTAATCTAAGTAAATTCAGCACTTTTCCTCTGTATTGGACTCACTGATACTAAACCTCATATCGGTATCAGAAGTTTAAAATAAGTGGATCGGTACAGATCTGTAAAGAAATTAAAACTAAATTGAAACATTAAATCTTCTAATAAATGACTGTGGCAATCCTGCTTGCTTCCACAAGGTGGCGTTAATGCATCAAATTGTAGCAACATTGTGCTTTGAATTAAAATGTTATGTATTCATTAAAAACAAAACACAAAAAAATGAAAGCTTCCAGAAACATCTATGCAGAAATTCTTGAAAATAAAAATGAAACCCAGTGAAGAAATGAGGTGAAGTCAGTAAAGATGAACGGGAAGATTGGAATCAGAGGATTTTCAGCTTGAGTGGGCCGATCAGTGACAGGAAACTCTTTTAAATAAATTTTTTTAATATACATTTTATGTTTTTATTTTTTTTAATGTTTGACATAAAAAGACAGTCTTCCTACAAAGTGCTGTGTGCAGAGAGTGTGTTCCCTTTCTGGGCAACTACATCAAAACAAACATAGCGAGCGGAGCATCTAATTACCATCTAATGAGGAATAAAACCATTTTAATCTTTAATGGTTTGGAGTTGAAACTTTTTTTAAGTGAATTGCAGCTGAGTGCAGAGTGAAACTGAAAAAAAAAACAACACGAGTCGTTTGTCTCTTGAAAGTGTTTAAAGTTCAAGTTAGACCGATCGTTTGCTACAGCTTCCTGTTATTGTGTTAGTTTGTGTATTCATGCACAGAAACCCAATATAAATTTCTACGTCCCACTTTGTTAGTGTAGACAATGTGCATGTTATACAAATTCAACAAGCAACATTATAAAATACATACACCTAATAAATATGTATTTTTTTCTTTGGAGTTGCACTCCGACCCGAGACTTATCACTTGTTTATTTCCAGTTGAGCCTGATAATTTTTGACAATTTGAATCTCTAGGATTTTTATTTTTAAATACACATTACACTGAGATGCACATATTTATTTGTGTCAAGCTGCAATGGCGCTTTTCACATATAATTCACTTTTTAAAGAGCAAAGTTTTGAGTACATTTTAAATGAATTCACTTTGTAAAAAAATAGATTGAAATAAAAAGCGGTTTTAAACAGGAAAAAACAAACGTGTAGAAAACCTTGATTATTTGAAAAATGAGCCAACAGATTATTATTAGTGATGATCCAACCAGAAATAATGCGAACAGAAGATTTCTTCCTGTAAAATCCCAAATAGCAGCACATCATAAGTTGTGTTTCTCTGGAGTCTTTCAGATTTTTTTATTTTTTAAAATCAGATGAATAAATTCATAATGCCAGATTGTTTTTGCTCCTATGTGCGCGGCTGCGTTTACCTGTAATTTACGCGCCATGGAAACAACATCGTGATCTGGAGGATTGTACTTGTAACAGTTAGAGAACATCAACCGGACGTCTGCAGCAAACTCTTCAGCGTCTCTGTACTGCCTGTTATCCAGCTTTTTCTGAAGGAGACAAAAACCATTTGGAATGATCAGAATATTCATGACAAAACATTTTAAAATATCATTTGATTCAAATGAATGTATAACTAAGATTATGAGTCAATATTAAATGATCAACTTTTCCTGTTTTAGGTAATTTAGAATTGTGAAACTATTTCTACAAACTCAAATTATTCAATTATTTTTCTAGATAACCATTTTGGATTAAAATTAGATTAATTACAAATCCTACAATTAACTTAAAATCTTAAATTGAGTCCCACCAATAGAATCAACCAATCAAAAAGTTGAAAAGCCTCGACGTCATTGTTGGGCTTTCATAAGTTATTTAAAGGGGTAGTACATAATGTCTAAATTTGAAAAATATTTTAAATAATCTAAAAACATATTCCAGTCGTTGGCAAATAGAAATAATTTTGATTCTCCTCACACACCCGAAGCCAGTGTTGTGTTCAAGACCACCTAACCCGAGACCAAGACAAGACCAAGACTTTTAAGGGTCCGAGACCAAGTCAAGACCAAGACCGAGGGAAGTCGAGACCGAGTCTCATTTGCCCATATTGCTCATATAAGAAACCACCACTGTTGCACCATTAAACATAGCAATTGAGGCAATGCCCTGACGGGAAATAACGCTCAAACCTGACCACTGACCAAGGAGCAACAAGCAAGAAGTAACCAAACAGAAGGCGCTCATCGTGACTGTTTTCACTCTCTCTATCCCAGTACATGAAGCCAGGTAGTCTGACACCATGGCAGACATTACAGCTGCCACTTTGAACAAAAACAATCAAAGAGCAATGTGCATGCTCTGCGTGCTCTTTCGTTCTTGTGTTTTAGTTATTTGTTAATTTAAATATCAACGTACATAATTAAATAAAATAATGATGCAGTGTACACAGAGCATTACTAGAACAAAGAACGGGTGTTCTGTCAGGTCAGATCGTCATACGCTTAGCACGAACTCACGGTGTTCTGTCATACGTTGTCAGATAGTCGTACGCTTAGCTCAGACATGCATACGCTGTCATTACCATATGATTTTATTTAATCAGCAACATAGAATCATGACGTAGATCATCATACACTTGGTTATTAACAGTTGTATGGCATCCAGCTGCAGCCAGACCTGCTTTAAACACACTTTGAAACCACGACAACGCATGTATATCCATCTAGTTATCACATTATGTCATATTATAAACAATTTAATTACTTATTTTCGTCATAACTTGTTGCGTATACTGACAACTCCACTGACGGTCGGACTTAATGTGCATGCGCTGGCATGGTACTCACAGCATGTATGCTATCCTGACAGTTTATGGTAATCTGATAGAATTACCTTTTTTTTTACCCAACTGATAATCCTCTGTAACCGCGTGTGGGGTTTTCCCTGACTGGAAGCTAGAACGCAACCCGTGGAATGTGACAGGTAGCCAATCAGAAAGTGCGGTGACGTAACGTTTAAACATCCCTTCAAAATAAGATACAGATACGCCGCAAAAACAAATATAAAGAACATTTTATTTTAATGAAAATTTTAACTCCTGACAACGACACATTAATGAGAGCCTTGAGCTTGTTTGTCTCCAAGGAGACGGTCCCATCTGGGAATAATGGGGGACAACGACACCCGAAGTGTGTTGCTTATGTTCAGTCTATTTCGTTGTTTTGTTTTGGTTGTTGTCACTGCAGAAAACCCCGCTTCACATAGATATGATGTCGGAAATGGCAACAGGGTTTTCAGTGCTGTGGTGGCGATGTAAGGGTATTCTGCCATGACTTTAATCCAAAACACCGGCAGAGTTGCTGTCTCAAACATACTTTTAAGGCCGCCGTCATTTGCGATCTCCAGCAGCTGATCTTCTTCTTGCACAGACATGCTAGATTCAGCTGGTTTGTTGACAAATGGGTCGCGGATCCATTCCTTGCCAGTTCGTGGGTCTTTTGTGGTTGGGAAGTAGCGTTCGAACTCCTTTAAAAGCAAAGACAGGTGATCGTGCACCAGCTGGGAAAATGAAGGCTCAGGCTCATTCTCACCCAAAATCCCCGCTAATGTTGGAAACATGTCAAATATGCCTTTGTTCACGCGCCGTCCCCACAAATCCAATTTGGCTTTAAATGCAGCTACTTTATCTGCCAAATTGAAGACGGTTGCCATTTTTCCTTGAAGTGACAGATTGAGTTCA